ACGCACTTGCAGACAAGGTTGACAAGGTGCACAGGGACTGCACCATCTCCAACGTGGTGGCAGCCTCCACTGGCACTGTGTCTGGCATCCTGACCATCCTTGGCCTGGCTTTGGCACCGGTGACAGCAGGGGTCAGTCTGGCACTCTCGGCAACTGGGATAGGGCTGGGAGCAGCAGCTGCTGTGACCAGTGTGTCCACCAGCATTGTGGAACGCTCAAGCAACTTGTCCGCAAAAGCTGAAGCCAGTCGCCTGGCGTTAATTGATATCGACAAAGGGGAGGTGGTAGAGGAAACTCTATGTCACAGTGCACCCCATATTTTTGCCTTATCAAAGAATTTCATCCAAGTTGTGGCAAATGTTAAGAAGAACGTCCATGCTATCAAGCTAGCCACAGCCAAACCTCACTTAGCAGCCCACGCCAAGCGCCTCATGACCGTTGGGAGAATCTCGGTCCACAGGGGCGAGCAGGTGCAGAAAGCTTTTGGAGGTACCGCTCTGGCAATGACCAAAGGAGCCCGGGTTATGGGTGCGGCCACTGCAGGTGTCTTCCTTCTGATGGATGTGATCAGCCTTGTGGAAGAGTCACTGCATTTGCATGAGGGGGCAAAGGCAGAGTCAGCTGAAGGGCTGAGGCAGCAGGCTCAGGAGCTGGAGAGGGTGTTGGAGGAGCTCACCCAGATCCATGAGATGCTGCAGTAGGGCCTCATTCCATGACCCCCAGAGCACTGCAGGGAGTGGGGACGTGTTCTGGACAAAGGCATGGAGGTATCTTATTAGAGGGAAAAAGAGGGCAAGATAAACTTTATGGGAGTGGGTGTTAAGGAGCTTGGCATTTCTGTAGCTGAACACAACAAGGGAGTGGTTAATTCAGATGGCAGATGAGTCAAAGAGAATGAAGGAAAGTGGAGCCTGGAATAAGGGAGGAGAGGGGATTGGGAGTGAGGGGAATGGGGAGAAACCATTTATTTTGGACTAAAGAAGACATTGGGGGCAGGGATAAAGAGAGAGGTGTAGAGAACAGGCAATGAGAAGGCTAGGAATACTACAGAGTTGAAAACAGGAGAAAGCTAGAGAGTTAGAATTGATGGAATATGGAGAAGTAACATGGCTCGTCTACTGACCCTCCCCATCATTTGATGTCCCAGCAAGAATGGAGTCTTTCCTTGGTGGTGGTCTTTTGCCCTACCTTTTCATTATCGACTCACCTTAGTCTTCCAGCAGCTTCATCTTAGTTAAGCAATGACTTCTTGTTGATGACGAAGATGATGATGATTGTGGTGGTGATGATGATGGCAGCCATGGTGGTGATGACAGAAGAGTAAATGGAACATTTAGCAAGTCACTGGTGCTCTTTGGGGCCAGGGTACCCTAAGAGATCAATGAAGTTCCAATGAAATTGCAAATGCTGTGTTGAAACAGTGGTTGATTTGAAAAAGAAAAGCAAAGTGAAACCAGGTGCCAGCATCAGGTCAAAGAACCTTGTGTTGTGTTGAGGAGATCAGCCGGCTTGGAATCAAGAGACACTGCCTCTCTGAGCCTCAGTTTCCTCATCAGTTTGTGGGGCGGTGCTGGACAAGATGGTATTTCACATCTGTCTGCTTTTCCCTTCTTGTGTCCTGTAGACTGGTCCAATAAATATGGACTGATACACTGAGCCTTTGTTGTGTGATTTTGGGCTCACCTGGGCTCCACATGCTTGACTTCCCTTCCCCCATGAGCCTGTCTTCTAGGATCTCAGGGAGCAAGCCCTCCACTTGGCTCCTGCTCTCCCATGTGGTCATTTCCCTCAGACCTCAGCACCCCGCAGGCCCCACTGGGACAACTGGGGGAAGCTTGTGCATATCTGGCTTAGGTTGAGCACATGTTCCTTATCCAGTGGCCAGGAGCTAGGACTGACATGTGGCACCTGAGGCTGATTAGGATCAGAAGGGCATGTGTCCAGCTGTGAGAGAGGGTCAGCAATAAACAGAGGGACAGAGAAAGACAGCCAGACAGCAAACAGCCCCGCCCAAGCTATCTTCACATTTCACCTAGACTCCTGCCAGAACTTCCAGAAAGGTCTTTTTCTGTTGACTCTTCTGGCTCTGCCCCGGTCCATTCTCCACACTGGGCCAGAAGGACCCTTAAGAATATAGATGTTATCATGCACCTGCTTCCAACCCTTCCATGACTTCTCATTACTCAGCAAAAAAGCCTAAAGGCTCCGTTCAGCCTAAGGTAGAGTTGGGTCCCCTGAAGGCAGTGCCAGAGGCAAGGCTCTCTCAGAGGGTTTATTTGGGAAGTGATCCACAGGAGCAGGACTGAGGGACTGGGGAAAGGGAAGCAGAGAAGGAGGGGAAATAGAAACAAAGACGTTCTTGATGTGGTCACCCCTGTGTGAAATTGAGTCTGCTAGGACCTTCTGAGGAGCTTTCATGGAATGGCCTCAGAATCATCCTCTCCAGGGAGGAAGGTGGGAAGCATTTGACCATTGCTCCCATCCCCCATGAGTGGGCATTAATTCTCTGTATTTCCATGTGTGGAGCATGTAAGTGTCAAACAGTTTCCCATGACTGGAGCCCAGAGCAGGAAGCAAGAGACACGAGACATGCAAAATTATCCCATACAGACTCCTAAATCACTCACAAGGTGCGTCCAGTGCCTTATAGGTCCTTTTGTATATGCCACCTTGCAGAAGACTTTTCTCAGTCCCTCTAACTCTCAATCAGCCAATGTTTCCCTGAGGCCTTCCATTGAGTCTTCCATTTATTCCTGCAGAAGTCACCAAAATCATGGCCACCCACTTGCCTGATCGGCTGAACAATGAGTTTCACTTCTTTGTCAATTCTTCATCAGTTCTCGTGTAATTCCCTTTCTTGCCTGGATATCACTTGGGCATTGAGTGTTTCAGTCACTGAGTAATTGAGTCGTTCAATAATCCACCAATCCTTTCCCCCTGAAACTTATGGTGGAATTCCATTTGCTAAATGTGCATTTGAGGCAATTCCACTGTAATACTTGTAGCAGTTGAGTTTCCTTTGGTTATAAGCAACAGAAACTGTCTGGCTAACATAAGTGGATCCATTGAAAGGGAGGTAAGGTAGATCAGAGAATGGAAAGAAGCACAAAATCTACACAGTTCAGGAAGGACAGGAACCAGGGAGGGTCCAACTTTAGAAACTTATAGTCTGCCCTTCAAGGGACCTGCCTTCAGATAACTAAGGTCCAAACACCTGGAATCCTGGTGTCTCTGATTAAAGTTTCCAATTCCCAGGAGACAGAATAGCTTGGGTTGGGTGACTATATTCTTGGACCAATCAATCAGGCCAGGGGATGAGGAAAAGGAATGGGTTATAGGGACCCAAACCTTGGGGGGAGTCTCAGGTCAAGAAGCCACCTGATTTTGTGCCTACTATACACAGTCAACCCCTTGGCTACGAGACACACACATGCACTCTTCTCCTCAAACAAATAACAATGACTCTTCTTAACCTGTTATGGATCCAGCGATCCCGTATACAACAGCAAGCCCACTCACCTCTTCCCTAGCTAGAGACAAATACAAATAACCTCCACCTACTGCATCTTGAAGTTATGTCATTGAGTGGAGGGCCTCAGTATATCACCAGTGTTTCTCTTGCTCCCTTGAAAATATTCCTTTCTCAATATTTTGCATTTATATATATATTTGTGTTTATATACATATACAAACATGTGTAGGAAACAAAGAGGTGCGATAGAGGCTACAACCACCGTTGACCATTGCTGCCACTGATACAAGCCTTTAACTGGTTATTCCACTCAGTGTTCCTCTTCCCTATGGGAAATTCATTCTTGTGGAGCCTGAACCTCTTGGTGGTCCTGCCTCAGTAAGGTTGTGGAATTTTCTATTAAGCTTTGATACTCGTTCCATAGTACAAGAAGGAATCCTAGGGGACCCCTTGAGTTCTACTCATATTCATCCTGCCCTACCGTGTAGCAACAATGTGAATTTCTCTTGAGAATCAAGATCAACTACCACATCCAACCCAGTGACTTCATCGTTATCCACACATCCAGGAGCATGAGGAATCAGATATGGCCAATTCAGTGAAACCATCTTTGTCTTCCCTAAGAGAGGTATTCCCCTCCTAGGTACTAACACCTCTAGACCAGAAGGTCCAGAGTCATTGGTATTGAAAACAAAATTTTTGAAAGTGGTTTAGTATGTGTAATCATGAGAGCTATTACTCTCATCCTAACTTCTTAATTCTCAGATCCGTTTATTATAGCTATAATTAATGGAGAAAATGCACTAAATACTGAGTGTGGACTTACAGGATAGCACATCCTATCAGGCAATATTCAACCTCTCAAAGTATTTTTTCCCAGCTGAGTCCCCTTCAGGCCATTTCAGTGATATCTAAGATCATCAATTCTGGGAGCTGAGATTCATTAGGCTCCAAGTCAACCATGACACAGGACAGTCCACATTGTGAGATTAGACATGGCCGTTCCATCAGCCACTTTGTCACAGAGCCCATTTGAAAGGACTAGCTGCCTAGGGAAGGGGGAAGATTTGCAGCCAAAGAGGGTGTCTTCATTGAGTCTTAAGTCTCTCTGACAGTGGAGACCTTCTAGTGAGCATTCATGTGGGACGGGAGTATTTTCCCTCTGCCCTCTTTCTGAGAGCTCCATCCATATAACTCTTCCCTAATTATCTTTGACACCAAGCCTCTAGATTTATTCTTTCTAAAATTCTGACCTTCCAGCCAGACCCTTATCTGTTATCCAAGAATCAATGCAGATCCTGGTCTGAAGACAGCTCTCCTTCCAGGCAGAGTGGACTATGAGATGTTCTCTGTTTTCGTCAGGAATACCCTTAAGAAATGTTCCACAGTAACCTAGTTCTGGCTGAAGTCACTGTGTCAGACAGAAAGTCCAGCAAAATTTGAGAGAGGCTGCATGCTGATGACATGGCTGAAGCACCTGAATTTGGCCTTTCTTGACCTTTCAGTGATGTGTCTATTTAGTTTTTGCAAATTGGAATTAGGTTTCTGTCTCCTACAACCAAAAATGTCAACTTTTGGGGTCCCTGGATGTAATGGAGTTGTTTCACAGGGAACTGTTGTCTTTTTCATAGCTGTGGGGGTTTCCCACCATGTGTAGTCATGACGTCCTCTGTATGTGGAGACTAGATTCTTCCTTCTTTGGCAACCAGGGCTCGTACCCAAGACTTAGTTTTATTTATTGGCTGCTTCCACATGGGATCCAGTGAAGCAAAGACTAAGGGTGTTTAGAACCAATTCTCAGTGACGGCCAAAGAGGAGAATGGTGATGGAGGACGCTGTCCTGCACCAGCAGGGATAATTTCTCAGGGTGGCAATGGCAGTGCTCTGACCATATTTTTCCTGACAAAAGATGCTTCTTTTGCTCCCTGCCTTTGACTCCATGGAGCTGCCTTGGTTTATACCTATTTTCTAAGCCTGGTCTCCAGCCTCCTAATGATTTGGGGGAACTCTGATATTAGTCCACTAAATTTCCCTTTTTTTCGCAATGAAACCAGAGTTGATATCTTTGTTTGCAACCAAGAAGACTGATTGATATATACCAAGAGCCAGAGACTGTATTTACTTCCTACATTAACAAGAATGTCTTAGGAATGGCAACTTCCACTGGAATTTCCACCTGAGTAGTTTTGTGAGCTCCCTGCCACTGTTTTACAAGAAATATCACTGGTTGGCACTGGCCAACTGGAGAGGTGAATAGGGTGTCTTAGGAACCACTACTCTTGCCTCCTTTGAGCCTTGAGGATGGCACCAATCTCTGTAATTCCTCCAAGAATTTGGTGTCGATTTTGGTAGAGGGCTGGCCCGGTGGTATAACAGTTAAGTTCACGCATTCCACTTTAGTGGCCCAGGGTTCGCCCGTTCAGATCCTGGGTGTGGACCTACTCACCGCTCATCAAGCCATGCTGAGACAGCATCCCACGTAGAAGAGCTACAACTCTACAACTGTGATACACAACTATGTACTGGGTCTTTGGGGAGAAAAAAGAAAAAAGAGGAAGACTGGCAACAGATGTTAGCTCAGGGTCAATCTCTCCCCGCCCCCAAAAAAAGCTATGTTATTAAATATTTTGGTAGAGGTGTAAAACCCAATGGGCTCTGCTAGCTTATCTCG